AGAGAGAGAGAGAGAGAGAGAGAGAGAGAGAGAGAGAGAGAGCACTGACAGTGCTGCCAGTCTGAAGAATCTGACGTTCTGAATTGAACTACAAAGTTCGAACTTTTAAGTTATACATGAAGTTATGGACTTAAATTACTAAATCCAAAGTTCAAAGTTCAAAGTTAATCATACTTTTTTCAAAAAAAATTCTCTGTTTCTTCAGTCTTGTGCCTGCTTTGCACTGTTTGCAAATCTGCATGTCTGCTAGTTAAATGTGCTGGTTGATTTGCTGCAAGACACGTGCTCTGCTGCCTGTGAACTACAGAGTGCAAAGCAGGTAAGTGCCTGCCACCCCCCCCCCCCCCCCCCCCCCCCGGGCCTTTTTTTTTTTTTTTAATTTGGGTCTGGACATTTTTGCACCCCGGGGGCCGGTCCGGATTGTCCGGTGTCCGGTGGTGTCCGGTGTCCGGTGATGTCCGGATCACCGGACTGGTCCGGAAGACAGTCCGGAAGTGTCCGGTGTCCGGGTCCGGGGTTACCATGGTTTTTTCTCTTTTGTAATTTCAACTTGTTGGTAAAAAGTGATGAATGCCAACAAATAATGACAAGAAAATATTAAAATAACGAAATATAAATTTATTAATTTTATTAAATAATATGAAACCCGGATATATAGAAAGGGTGTGGGACACTGTGGGTGCATTGGAGTTTCGAATGCGCGATAGGAAAGTGGAATTGGAGTTGACGATTCGCGATTGGAAAGTCGATTGGAAGTCCGGAGCGCCTGATCAGAGTGTCTTCAGGATAATTAAATAGTATTATTAACTTTTCTATTTGTTAATAATTACATTTAATTTAATAAAAAATTGTGGGCTCCTCCCCACAGCCAGCCTTCCTCTGAGCGGCTCACTGGGCCCAGCTGGGAAAAGGGTCTTGCACGGGAGCGTCATGTGAGACCCTCTGTTTCCTTAAGGATCATCGCCACCTAGGCTGTCAGCAGGCCAGTGTGGGTACCCACCCAAGTGGGGCCCAGCTGGGCAAGGGCCGGGCAAGGTCTGAGGCAGTCCCAGTGCAACATATGTAGGGAGAAAACATAAAGAAAATTCAAACAAGTCACAAAAAATCTGGAAAAACGAAGCGAAATGATATGTAAACATTGTAAAATTGCAATACAAAGTTGCCACTCTTTTTCTTTGCTTCTTCTTCTTCCCCCCCCCCCCCCCCCCCCCCCNCCCCCCCCCCCCCCCCTCCCCTCAAAGTCACAACTTTTGGCTGCCCATGCCCCCCTACCCCTTACCTCCACGCCCCCCCTGGCAGCGTCCCCCTGCTGCATTACCCATCAGAGATGGAATTCAAAGATACGGACGGATTCGCTGACTTCTCATGCCATGTGCAATCCTTCCATGGAGGCAGAAGTTGAATTTCTTCAGGTCTTTTTTTGACTCTTTGCCCCTTTCTCGTTTCCGGAACCCGTCAGTTTCCCAGGTGGGCCCCCCTGTGGGCCCTCCTGGGCCAGTCGGGCTTGGCCAGGTGGGCAAGTAGCCTAGTGATGGAATTGATTCCTTAGCTTAAACCAGCAGTACTTTTGACCCTTCCCTTGCCGGCAGGCCTGGAAACACTGCCAAATACAAAATGAATCGGCACAGGCTTTTCCTTTGGCTGGTGCCGCCAGCCATTTCGGCCTGGTAGGCCGACCCCCGAAGAGATTGTCGCATGGGCACGGTCGCGTCTTCGAAAAAGAAATGGCTGGGAAACGTACAGATGGTTTAACCTTCCTTTTTCTCTGGCTCGAGGCCGATCTTCTCTTCACAGATGAATCTTGGCCCAAGTAGCCTAAAAATTAATAGGTAACTTGATCCCGGATGGTTTGTTCCCCCGTTCCGTCGGGGGCGTAGAAAGCATTTTTTGGTTAATTCTCACTCCTCGTATACGATGACTCTCTGTACATTGGCAATTCTGGCCTGATGGCCACTAGCAAGTCTGAGCGGCAATTGCTTAAAGCCTTAAACCTCCTCCTTTATTTCTTAAACTACCAGTCCATCGCACCCTAAATTGACGAACCGAAGAATGCATTGCACGCCCCCAATGGAACGGAGGAAATGGGGGCAAACTACCAGTCCATCGGACCCTAAATCTACAGAGCCACCGTATAGGAGTGATTCCTGACCATCCTGACGACGTCCCTTCTGTGTGTTGGAAACAGTAAGGGAAAAAAAAGCGCTTCGAAGAGCAGTCGTTTCCGAGGAAGTATACCATTTCTTCACCATTCCGTCTTCCGATGGTGCTTTTTTTCTGTTCGAAAATTTTCCAATTTTGTGACAAGTAACTGGTTGGTTTGGTTTGGCTTGCTTTTCCACAGTTGATGAGACGATCACGAGTTGGAAGTTCGAAGTTCGGACCCTGTAGGAATCCGACGGATATACGGTATTACTAGGTGTTTATAGTGTATGCTACTGTAGACCGCCTTATACCCCCGTATACCCCCTTATACCCCCTTTAAAAAAAAAACGCAAGAAAAAGGAAAAGGGTTCAGAAAACATTTCTTCAGTGTCCTGATGGTATCTTCTGTCTGTTGAAAACTGTAAAGAAAAAGACAACGTTAATTTCTTCACAATTTTTTTGAGAAGTTGTAATGGTGCATTCTGCTCTCAATTGTTTTGAGAATTGAGTGGTTGGTTTTGTTTTGTTGTGTTTTGGTTTGATTTTCCACAGATGTATACTCCTATGCCGAGGACGATACAGTGGAAGATCCGTTCCTTGCAGAACATATTGCACACTTTGGAATTAACTTTACCGCACTAGAGAAGGTTTGTAGTTTCCCTCTACTAGTCTCTTTTTTTTTTCAGGTCGTCTGTCGACTAAATTTTTTGTAATACAACAACGAATGTAGTAGTAAATCTGTTTTCGAAAAAAGGAAAGTTGTTGTTTGAAGTGAGCAATGGAGCAGAACACTCGTGTTTTTACCCTTTCCTTCCTTGGACTAACGAGTTGTTTTCGAAAAAGCAAAGTTTTTACCCTCCCTTTTCTTTGCTTTTGTCCCTCTTCCTCCCTCCTTCTGCGTCTTCCTCCCTCCTTCCTTGTCCTCCTCCCTATTCTCTCCTTCCCCAGTCTTTCTAATCGCTTCTCCGAGTCCTCTCGCCAATAGTATTTGCTTTGATGACACGTCTCCCGAAAGGAGGTTTGGGTATTTGACTGAGACCCTCCCAAAAGTAAGGATTTCACCTCCTGATACTGGTAGTCTTTGTATATTGGGCCTTGTCACACCACTCACGAAACGAGAAAAGGAAGTGACTGGATCTTCCTGTAGAAGTTGCTAATATACATGTGTTGCTATTCATAGTAAGGGATGAATCTTTCCGCCTTCTTCTCGTTTCGTGAGCGGTGTGGCAAGGGCAAGCACGCTCTCATTTGTGCCGTCATCATGGGACGACTGAATCTGGGTACTGGTGTGAAGCACGTGTGGGTGTGGTTGTGTGTGTGTGTGTGTGTGTGTGTGTGTGTGTGTGTGAGAGAGAGAGAGAGAGAGAGAGAGAGAACTATTTCAAGCGAGTTGCTGGATGGATTTGGTTCTATTGTCTATATAAAGATGCCCTATATTTGCTTAAACTCCTAGTACATCCGAGGCTGTCTTTGCCGAGCATGAATTTGACCGCGCTCCGAGTTTTGCCGAGCCTGAGTCCCACGAGTCCCACTCCATTTTCGTTTTCCGTACTCCCACGGAAAGAACAAACAAAAAAGAAAAAAAAAGAAAGTCTCAGCCGTGAAACTCACAAAAGAAGAAGAAAGAAAAAGCTTTGGCCGTGAAATGCAGTTGTATACATTCTTGGAAGCGGTAGTGTGAGTCTGCCCTCAGTGAGGGCGTCTCAGCCCCGGGGTCAGGTTGTCAGATTCCAGAAAGTCAAAGAAGGGAAACAAAAAAGTAAACACGAATTTGGCCATGAAATTGGCTCTATACGTTCCTCTAAGTGCCAGTGTGATCAGGGTTACAATCCTCTGAGGAAACACAGCTTGAGCAGATCATGGAGTCCGCCCTGCCTCGTTGGCAGGGGACTCGTAGAATCTGACCGTTTTAGCTGTAAGATTCATTCTGTGGAGGGCTACTGTGAACACGGCCTCCTAGACTACCCCCCCTGACATCATTGCGGTAAAGAAAGTACGTTCTTTTCTTTTTTTTCCTTTCATGCATGGGCAGTGCGTGGGCAGTATAAAACGGAACTTCATGGGACTCGCCGAGCCTGGGTCCCACTCTGAATTCTTCGCGAACGGTCGTTTTTCCCTAATTTCCCAACACTGGCGGAAGTACTGGTGGTTTAAAATTTAAATGCTTGTGATTTTCAAGTGTGCATGGAATGAGGAACCCCTCTTTTTCTTTCATTTGATTATAATGTTAAAATGATGCATTATGGATGTCGGCACCTGATCGCGGGGCAGGGCCCCCCAGCTTCAGGACCTCTCTCTCTCTCTCTCTCTCTCTCTCTCTCTCTCTCTCTCTCTCTCTCTGTGTCTGTCTCTGTGTGTCGGTGTCTGTCTCTCGCTGTCTCTCTCTTGCGCTCTCACTCTCGCTCTCTCTTGATCGTTTTTAACGATTGGTCCTGAATATTGCAGTAATGGATTGTATGCTTTCTGTTTGTGTATTCGTTTGTGTGTTTGTTTGTCTGCTTATTCAGACAGAGATGACGACAGCGGAGAAGGAGTTGGACCAGAACTTGAACTTCGATTGGTTTCGCATACAAGAGAAGGGTAAAGAGCTGGAGCCGCTTTTTGGCCCTGGGTACACTGGGCTTGCTAATCTTGGGAACAGGTTTGTTCATTTGTGAGAATGTCAGATTTCAAAAATTCCAAATCTCTCAGTCCATCTTCTTTGTCATTTATTATACTTTGGCACGATCACGATCTTTATTTTCTGAGAAAGCCGTACGGCCGCTGCGCGGATGACACATTCCAAATTTGGAATTTAAGACCTCTTAAGGCCATCTTCAGTGCTTAAACCACCACTCCATACCTTTCTCAGCCTTTTGGCTAAAAATAGATAAAGTGTAGTATCAGTTCTGAATCTTCTGATCAGTTTAATATCTGATCTGTGGTCCATCGGACCGCACAAAAAATAAAATAGTACAGTGTCGCCATGAGGAAAAATATTTGTGGTACCCTTCCCCACCGAACCTCTACCGGGCCCAGGTCTCATGTGGGAAGCAAGTGGAAAGAGCCCGCCAATTTCCAAATAGGAAAGGGCTGGCTCTGGGCAGCACCAGTGGTAGCGCAGCAAGTAGCCCAGGAGCGATCACTCCAGCAGCACCGCCACCCGCAATTGCAAGTGCCCGAATGTGCAGCCCGGAGGCCAGCCCTTTCCTATATGGAAAGTGGCGGGCTCTTTCCACTTGCTTCCCACGTGAGACTGAGTTTCCAGTAGTTTCAGTCTCGGCCAAAGTGTCTGCGCCCAGGCCCGATTCAGACTGTGGCCTAGGACCGAATTGGTTAGGCATGCCCAACCAACCGCCCAGGCACAAACGTGCGGTGCTCCCTGCTTCGACCACGTTGCTGGAAGAGCTTAATTAATCACTAATTAATCACTAATTAATCACTAATCAGTAATTCATCTGTGAGGAATGAGCCCTCACGGGGCCCTATCAGACATCACATGTTCTGGGCAGAGCCCCCCAGCAAGCTGAGTGCCCGCCCTAAGTGAAGGCGGGCCTGAATATTCATCAGAGGCCAAAATTCGACATTTTCATATGTGGGTATTCGGGCTCTTGCAGCACGCCAGTTGGTTGAGTGGACACGTGAGCCTCACTAAGCTGAGTCGTACAGTTGGCCCAGGCCTTGGCAGTTGCGCCTGGGCACATACACACAAAGCAGGGTCGATAGATCATGAAGTGGCCACCGGCCTATGCAAAAGCAGTATTGTCGACGCATCTACCCCGGGGTCCTGCACAAATGCAGCAAACGGCCCAAGTCCGGAGACTCAGGCCGTGCCCAACTGTAAAGGCCCTCAACTGTAGTCTTGGGCCTGGGCGCAGGAACTGAGGCCGACCGGAAGCTTCTGGAAGCTTCCAGCCAGGCCACACGCAGCATCCAGGAGGCTGCCACTTCCATATAGGAAGTGGGGCAGCCCAGGCCAGGCATTTCTGGTCCGCGTAGGCAATGCAGTCACGCTGCTGCGCTGCGGCCAGAGCGCTGGCGTGGCACGTTGAGGTGAAGTGGGGCGCTGCAGGGCAGCGGTGCGCAGGCAGCCATAGCCGGGCTGCTGGGCGCTAGGGGGTTAGAGAGCGATCGGGTGGTCTTCAAGGAAGGAGGCGAGTGTGTGGGTTATCAAGGTCTGATGAGGGTGACGAGATACGTACCTGGTGCATGAAGAGACGCCGGCTATGGTGTTGAGGTCATGTACGTTGGTCTTCGAGAGTCGAAGTGAGCCTGTTGCGTGAACACAGCTGTAGGTAGGATAGTCGAGACAGAGAGGAGCGACTTTGGATACTGTGTTGGTGTGGCGTGAGGGCTTGAACATTGGCTCATTACTTCATTGTGTTGCTCTATTTGGATGGATTCTCGGTGCAATTGTGCTCTCTGCTTGTACACGACTACTTGGATAACTGTGTGATTTCGCAACTTGGTTTTCTGTATATCTTGCACACTCATATTCCTTGCACATCACTCATTATTCACTAATTAGTAATTAAGCAGTAATTATTAATTAAGCAGTAATTAGTAATTAGTAATTAAGCAGTAATTAGTAATTAAGCAGTAATTAGTAATTAATCACTAATTAAACTCTGATTAAGCACTAATTAAGCGCTATGTAATCACTATTTAATCACGAAACAAGCATCAATCGATCAGTAAGCAATCACTAATCATTGTAATAAATCGTTAAACGGTCACTAATCAATCACTAGTTAATCACTAGTTGATTAGTGGCAATATGACAATTAAGTCACATTGTTTTTTGAACTTTTTTTAAAAGTGCAGTGTTTTTTGAACGTTTGCACTAGTATCCTCACTCTTCAGGGTTTGGGTTGTGGCTGTTGCTGTTCCTCTTGTGGACGTTGTGGTGGCATTTACAGCTGCTATCTGGCATCTGTGATGCAAGTGGTGTTTTCGACCCGTGATTTCCAGGAAAGGTGAGACTGCTCAAAAAACTCAAACACGGCGATGCGACAGACAGTCTTTTCTTGGAATTTTTGTTTCAGAAATATCTTCGCTTTGCATGACTCGTGAGACTGTGCTGAAGCACTGTGGTATAACTTGCAATGTCTCTTTTTTTGGTGAGAATCATCTTCACTTTTCACAGGGGTGATGGGAATGCTAAAACAAGTACAACGGTATAGCAGCTATAGCTTATTGGCAATATGACAGCTTGGTATCTTCATTTTTCTGCTCCTCTCTCTCTCTCTCTCTCTCTCTCTCTCTCTCTCTCTCTCTCTCTCTCTCTCTCTC